CAGCGACGAAGGCAGCTGCCTGACTAGACTACTATATATGTGTTTTCAGTTGGAGCAACTGTAACAGAAACTGTAGCCGTTAAATATCTTCCCCGCAAAAAGTACTCGGGTTTTGAAGCGGTATGTTGTAGTGGCTTTCCGCTGCAGGGAAGCTATGAAACGCCATTTACTCCAGGCAATCAGTTCGCCTATCTAAAATGACTTGCAAACACCTTGGAATATTTAGGTTTGCTAAAATTCGTGCATTTCCATGGCAAGATTAGCATTAAGGATGAGAAAAACGACAGTTATTAGGGTTGTAATTATTAACTAGGTGTGAATACAGATGTTAACACGAAAGACAGCTGGATTATTTAGTGAGGAGTCCGCTGCTTTGAAGGTGCTTCTGAGGAATGTTATATAGCCCATGTATTTGCTACACCTTTCTGGTCCTTTCGCTTTAAATTTCCAAATGGTGTTAGTGCTTGCTCACTTTATGTGAAACCGATTCTTTAAATGAATTATTCAGTAGTGTTAGAAACGCTAACAGTTTTGTGAAGGTGCACTAGTTGTTAGAAGACTGAATATTTGGTTGCCGATAAACGCTCGACTCACTGAAACTGTCAGCTTCGCGTTGCACTGAAAGCTTCTCCATTTGATGTTCACTTACTTTCTCCTTCTGGTATTCTTCTGCTGAGCCTACTCTTCTATTTACCTTCTGGTCGAGGTCGAACAACCCCACATTTGGGGCGTTGATATGGCATATCCCCTGTTTGAAGTGGCGCTTCCACCTTTACCTTGAGGACATTTGCGCGGTCTAGTTGATTTCAGTTGTTTCGTTTGATCTAGGTAGCTGCATTTGACGTGATTCTGGTTTCTATTTGGCTTGAACTGTGTTGATTTTGTTAAGAATAGTCGTCAAAAGCTGCCTCTAGGCCTGAAGGCAGTTATGGTGCAGGAGGATGCTTGAGAATGTGTTTCATGTGGAGATTATAGGGTGCACCTAAAATGAAGTCACAATATTACATCAGTTAAATCTTCCCCCAAAACCAAGGCCACTTGAAACCAATAGCAACATAGCGGCAAGCGTCATTGAGGGGATATGCAATAAAGTCGCTCATCAATGAACATTAAGCCAAGGATGCTGTTCACAACAAAGTTATATAGGAGAATTGGATTCAAGCTTTATTTTTCCCAGATATTTGTATTACATTCATCTGATGTCTGGGCTTTTGTTAATGCGAAGGCAATATTTCTATATCACTTTAAGTGTTACACAAACAGACTATTTTGCAGACTGTATGTACAGACTCTAATGTTAGAAGGAACAACCAAACTGTAAATTCAGCATACATCGAAATATGTGTAATTTATATAATAACTTATCCATGTCTGTACAATTGGTATGTTCCTGCATAAACAGGAATAAATATACAGTCTGGATATATGGATCACGAATTTTTTTACAAGGTGCCCCAACCCAGTGTTTGCTGAGTAAAGTCGAAGAGCTAGAAACTTGTGCAAATAGGTCGCAGGTGAGCACGGACCTTTCTCTCTCTTTATTGAGGGGACTACATTCACTTGACCAACTGACACATGGAGTTCATGGTCCGTTTTGGGGTGTTTGGGTCCCTGTCTTCCGAAATGTATTCGAGCCGATTTGACCACGTTGTCCGTCCGGTCGTGTGAAGAAATACATTTGAGCACATTGCGATTACCTGTGAGGCCTAGTGTGAAATTTTTCTTAGGAGTCATTTGCAAGTACACTTGGGGTAGTGAACTAATGTATTTTTGCAACCAAACGTCGTAACGAATAATACAAAATCCAACGAATGATAGGGTTTATGACGTATTAGTGAGGGAATTTAGTGGGCCGCGTGCATTGTGTGTGCACGTCCTGAGTGGAATAAGACATAATTAAGGAAAATGTATCATGAAAAGTACACATACAAAATATATAAGAAGGACGTATAGTCCCCGGACTAATAATGTTAATTTGTAATGTCTAATGCAAACCATATTGGTCTTACCAGAGAAACTATGACGTTCTCAAAGGAAATAAAACTTTCCACCAAAACGTTTTATTTTTAGCCTAGTCAGACTGTGAGAGAAGAATACTAATGATGGGAGCAAGTTTTAGCCTCATTAAAGGCTTAGACAGCTAAGTATGGCTCAGATAAAATTGCAATTGATAGTTTAGGCAGAAGTGGCTTCAGCGATCCGAAAAGTTTGAATACACAGGATACGCCTACCCATAAGATGTCTCACGGATTAGCGTAGGGCGCACGGGGTCGTATTTTGGCAAGAAGCTGAGTTTTGTAGATGTTGGAAGCAGAAGCACTTAACTAAATTTGCATATCAACAGTGATTATTGTCTTTTTATGTCAGGAACCAAAACTCATGTTTCCATTCTTGAGTTGTCAAAAAATTTATGCTCCGATCCTACATATTGAAGTGGCTTACATTTGCGACCACAACCACATCTGATCAGCATGCGCAACTCGTCCCCTCCTTTGTGGTTCCTAACTCCATCCTTAAAGGTTTGAGGACCATTTTAATTAAGGATAAATACTTAGGGGGCGTAGATCAAATTTTCGCGAATCATCTCTGCCGAAAATTGTAGCTAACTAGAAAACAAAGTCCTAAAACGTCTAAACTGCCCCAAGTGCATGAATTTCGACAGAAAGGGTTTTTGACGGTGGGATTCAATGAACACATTAACTTTCTCATTCCCAAATCCTTGGTCTCAGTTATTAATCACTATACTGTGACTAGTTTTGTCGGTCATGACAATTTCTGCATTCTTCCACTTATACTGTGCCGTACAAACTGCTCAAACAGATGGGACAGATTATGGGACTGTCTTTATTGACCGGGATTAGAAGACTTGACACTTTCATGATATTTCAGGGAAGTAAAGAGAATTTCAGCAGATTTATTTTTATTTATTGAGACACATTTCGCAAATAGAAGAAACACCTGCAACTCCACTGGCACGCCTTCTGCAAAATTAGAATATACATTTTTTATTAAGGCAAACCAAGTTTCAGGATATAGATTTGAAAACTAAGAGAGCTCTGAGGCACTTCTAAAATATCTGAAAGAAATTCCAAATATTAGATAGACAAAGTAATGAAGCACACATAAAACTTTTCTTCACTGCTTATATGGGTAGGAAATGTAATCAATAATTGAATGAGATACATATACCTAGATGCATATGAGTTCACATAGTTGTTAAACGGACACTTGGCAGCCATTTTGACGGTACTTTGTTATGAGGCAAGAGGCGGCACTGCCATTATGCACAGGTCGAGATGAATAATTAAAATGGAGAAATATTATTTGAAAGGCTAAATAGGTCTATTCCCACCCAAAACGGTGATTAAACTGGTTTATCTTCACAACACACCAAGCAGATTGTTTCACCTTTGTTTCTACAATTTTGTCTGTTTTGCATTGGATGCAATACGAACTGAAATCGAGTAGATGGATCTTTATTGGATTGGAGTAAAAGACTTTATGGACCATAGTTACCGCAGTACTTTCGGTGAATATAGGAATTTATTGTGTCGTGAAAATAAGAAATATATTTCGCAATTCAGAATGTTGAGAATCCCACTCAGAGGCTCTGTTTGTAGGTTTCTGACTACGAGATACTTTCAGTATAAATAATATTCTGCATTGTCATGACAGCTTAGCCAAAATCCCAGGTTTAACAGCAGGGTACTATCTACCCAGAATCACCGTGAAAGAAGATAGCGCCGAAATAATGGGAACTTGGCTGGGCTTCTCAAACCAGATAGAGAGGTTAACAAATATTTTACCGTGATTTTGTGTGGGTTGGGCCACCAAGCTGATGAGTTCCATTTGCCGAGAGTACTGACTGTAGAGCACGCAGTAGTTGCTTTACTTGTCCGTCGAAAAACGGCTGAGCATACTAACGAGCACAAGCACTGCTTACGAAGACTAGTTCATACCATGCGCATGATGGATAAAGTTCAAGAAGCTGTATCTTAAAATGTTAAAAAGAATCAGATGTGGTGGACTTTTTCATATGGCATATGAAGAATCTGTGTGGTGTGAATTCAGCAGCATATTAGTACGGTATTAACAAAGGTGTGCAGCAGTGTATGTAAACTATGGCACTTTAGTCACAAAAACTCCTATGTTGGATGAGTTTGTGATGGCCCGTCTAGTTCTTACGAGTTAATTTGCTCGATACTCTGGAATTAACTGTACTAAAGTTGTTTTTCGAGTATAGAGTATGCTATGACGCACAACTTCATGGCTATGTGATGTTAAAGTTTTAGTTCTGGCTTTAATATAGTTGCGATGTTATTTAATTTCTATCTTCTGGCTAAATGCAGTGCAACTAAAAGTCACGTTCATCTGTAGCTAGTGTTCACATCTGTCAATGATTTTTATCACAATTCGGTCAACTTCCATCGAGAGATGACTGTTTGAAAGAATAAATAGTTTAGCCGAAACTACAAGGATTAAATACTCTTAATTAAAGCCACTGATCAATGTGTCACACTTTCCAAGAGTTTCCAGCGTCCCTTTTTGCACCTTAGTTGAATCTACATCATTTCACTCTATGACTCGCATTTCTGTTAACTTTTTCAATTCTTCACACTTTTGCACCATTTTGGCAGTTTGTGATTCTGTTATCACTGACTCAAGGATATAAATGAATTTTCAGTACAGTTCACCCTCTGGAACTATAATTAAATTCTTTATTCTATGATATTCCTTATTCTAGGCCATCGGAAAGTTGCCAAAGTTAATCTGTTAACATACACGTTATTTCTTTTGATATCAAACCGTGATTAGGAATCATAGTATAATCGTGAAAGTTAATAAGATATAGGACATTCCACATAATCTAATTTGTTTAGAACTATTTTACAAAAAATAAGATTATTATTGAAACGATTTTATCCACCTTTAACTAATGGTTACACAAATAATGTCTTATTGCAACTGAATTGAAAGTTTTGTTTGTCTGAGTCAATGCTATAAACTTCAGTTGAAAGTTATACCTAATGATTTCAAATATTGTTACTGTGAATACGCGCATGTAAAATACTCATCTACATTGCAATGATTCTTTTACAAAGAAGCAATTGAAAAACTTTTAATAAGTTTCGGGGATGTTTTAAATGGGACAGTTATGGTGGATTACTGGGGATCTCATAGCGGTTCATGAAGTGACAAGTTATGGCTCAGATATGCGATATATCTCAGGCTTCTGCTTGGTTGCCCCTTGTTAGAGCCTCAGCAATCGGATGGATACCAATTTCGCAGCATCCCCTCCCAAAAAATATTTGCACTAAAGATGATGTCAGTCGGGAAGTTTTTGAAAAGAAAGCTGTTATTAATGTAAGCGGTCAAAGATTCGAAATACTTACAAGCTGCTTGAACCGTTATCCTCACACTTTGCTTGGATCAGATGAACGTGATTACTTTTATGATGAAAAAACCGGAGAATACTATTTTGACAGAGATCCGGAAATTTTCAGGCATATTCTTACTTATTACCGCTGTGGGCATCTGCACTATCCAAAGAAGGAATGCGTTATCCAGTATGAAGATGAGCTTGCTTACTTTCGGATAGCATCAGAATCTCTAGGTGATTGTTGCTATGAGGATTATCATGATAGCAAAAGGGAAAATTCCGAACGATTGTTAGAGGAGCGAACGTCGACCAAAGAAAATGCTGAGAAACCGAAAGATTTTCGCAACAGATTGTGGCAAGCCTTTGAAAATCCAGAGTTTTCTACTACTGCCATAGTAATTTATTATGTGACTGGATTTTTCATAGCTGTTTCGGTTTTCGCAAACATAACAGAAACCATACCATGTGGTCCTGAACCTGGATTAAGCAAACAGCGGGCTTGTGGAGATAGATATATCGATGCTTTTTCATGTCTTGATACAGCATGTGTAATTATATTTACTATTGAGTACTGTGCAAGAATGTATGCTGCACCCAACAGATGGAAGTTTTTTATTTCAGTGATGAGCATTATTGATGTCGTTGCTATATTACCATTTTACATAGGCTTACTAATGCCAGATAACAAAGTGAGTTTCTTATGATACATTTTATAGTTATTGGCCTTTTGTTTATTAATTTTTACTTTAAATGCTCTAAGCTTTTATAAAGTGTTAGTGATTTTAAATATTTAACTTTTTCAGGAAAATTCAGGTCTATAAACTTAGTGACTACAGGTTTATAACTTTATCTGTTCATGTGTCAGAGTAAAGATGGTACCTATGAATTTTGATTAAGTCGACTTGTTTAGTGGTCAATAATTTTGGGGAATTATTTACCGCTACAATTCCATTAAATTTCGCTGATTGTATATGCCTGTGGCGAAGACCTTTATTTTTACACTAGTGTGAAATGGGGTTTTGCCATGGTGCCTCCGGCTTTGGACCTCCTTGATTCTTATCTGTCAGTTTACGAATTCCACTATTTTGGCGATTGCAACTGTAATTAGTATTCGTCTTAAAATTGATCTATATACCTCAGCCTTATGTGTAGTATGGATTTTTGAAAATCAGGTCAATACAAATCAGAAGTTTGGTATCGTCAGAGCACTACAAAGACTGTAGGACTTTTTCAGTACATTGGAGCAGATTTAAAACAGTTTAACTTAGAGAAACGTTTCAGCAATTATTCCTTAAAACATATTTTAAAAGCTGTATTCACTTAACAATTAAAATAAACTTCTGGATGTAATCCCTTGTGTAAGCTCATTATAACTGGTCACGATAAATTTTAATCAGTGTATAAGTAATCTTGTATGTTTTGCAATACTGTTGTAATTAGTGTGTTGTGTGATTAGCATTTCACTCCGATAAACTAACGAAATTATAAGTATTGCCAGATTTACAACAGAGACGCATATGTGGTGCCTTGTGTTCTATGTATTCTAAGATACAATGATAACTATGAAATGCGTTTTTCGTTTACTATTCTACAGGAATTAAAGTAACTTTGTATCGAAATTGATATTCGTTGAGGAACCTATTTTAATTTTATGTGCTCATTATTTTCAAGTATTTAAAACTACATGCTTTTACAATCCCACCTTATAGCCTCTTGGAAAGTATTCGAATTTACATGTTACGCTGTGAAATTCAGTTAGGGATCTTGAAATTTGTTGTGTTTTTTAAAATCCTCCTATGTCACATTCACTTTAGAATGTTTTGCACTTGCAAAATAGTTCGTCTGTCAGTTTCATTTTCTGAGGATTACGAACAAAACAGTTGCAAAACTCCATATTATGCTTTAGCAATCTGAAAATCTTAGAAAAATAAGCACGAACAAATTTATAAAACAAATGCTACCCTGTCGGATCGAAATGTATAAGTAGCATAATGTGCAAGGGTTCCTAATATTCTCTTGCAGCGCTGCATACTGAAGATCACAGTTCAATTTAAAATGAATAAAGTGTCGATTGAGGTAGACAAATCCATATTATTTTGTTGATATAAATTCCAAAGTGGATGTATATTTATTTAAGGGGTCTAATTAAGGATTCTATTCTTAAACCTATGGAACTCTGAAAGTCTTCGAACCTCTTACCTTTGGAAGTCTTTTCTGAATATTGAAAAAGGATCTCTATCACATTTGAATCATGGAAGTGGAGTGACTGATAGACTGGTTAGTGTTTGTTGTGGAGGTTATTCAAATTAGATAGTAGTGTGAGACATGAGGATAAATCTTTTGTAGAATCGGCGTTTATGTACAAATGTATTTTTTAACTCCTCGCCACGAGCGGGACATAAAGCTTCAAGCTTGAGCTTTGAATTTTCAGCAGCTGTGGTATATTTTAATGAGACGGGGTTGCTGGTCTCATGTCTATTCTCCTGTCTTTACCGGGCTTACTACCGGCCAGGCGACTTTTAAAAGTGCATTGGTTAGGAATCGAAAGCGGACTAATATTGAATCATCAACACGCAGATGTATTAGGCACTAAGACATCATTTGTGTGGATCTTTCCCGATTCACGCTTACTTCTCAACTTAAAGTGAAACAAAAATGATCCTGTGCGCTTTTAAAGTGGCCGCTAATGCCCTCAAAGTTTAAACTGTTCAAAATCTGTAAATAAAAAAATAGAGGTCTAATCGAACTACAAATGTGCGAGCACAGATTTACCAAACATCACTTCATATTATATCTTCAAAAATTAAATTTTTGATTTACGCAGAGAAAAATCAAAACGAACAAACATTTGGGTTGACAGAGAAGTAAATTACTTTTATTCCATTATGGATAAAATTTTTATTTTGATAAAGTCACAGTGTTACACAATAAGTAATATTTACTGATGGCTACGTTTCAAGTACAGTTCATTACTGTTCATAATCATATCAAGGTACTCACTCACGTAACTTTCTTGCTTGGTTTATAAACACGAGTTAATTTGATCAGACATAAATAAAATCAATCAATACAAAGGAAGATGAAGTACATTCGGAAACACTGTTAGTGTGATCAATAAAATACAATAGGATGTGAAATAAGACGGGAGTTGCTAGTTAATAAAATGGGAAATAAGATGTATTTATAGTTAAATAAATAACTTGTTAGAGTGTTACAAGATGAACTGAAATGAATTTTAACATCACTTATTATTCTCTGATTTGACTGGTGGTAATAATATCTTCCATATCTCTGGTAATATTTACTGATGATGTTTCGAGCACAATTTATTGCTCATAATCATATCAAGTTAATCACACGACTTCCTAAATTCATTTATATAGTTCCATTGTTTTTCACTTGATTTGATTGGTAGTATTATTTTCCATATTTCAGGTATGAGAGATGATTCATTCCTATTGCACGTGTTGGGTGTAGATTCGATGAACAAAGATTCAGTAATCAACCTCTCTCTCCACTTACCTAGATTACTTTTTAGAATTTTAACCCTCTCCCACCCTATTGTGTGGTTGTGTGTTAATGCATGCATTGCAATTGCCGAGCTTTTTTCTAAATTACTTATCTTCTCGGGGTCAACCATTCTTACCTTAGCTAAATTCTTATGTTCTGACAATCTGACTACCCCTGACCTACTAGTTTGACCTATGTAGTTGACCTAACGCACAGTCATTGCAGGGTATTTTGTAAATTATATTATTTTGTCTAATTGGGTCCACTGGGTCCTTTAACCTACAGAGCTTGTCCCTGGGTGAGTTTGTAGGTTTAAATGCCACCCTAATTCCTGCTTTATTTAGAATCCTACGTAGGGTCTCAGATGTCCCCTCTTTATATGGTATAACTGTAGATGCCTTGTATTCTTTCTTATTATTATGAGTTTCACCATTAATTTTACTGTGATCTTGACCTTCTTTTTATGTTTCTAATGAATTTTATTGGACAGTTAGTTATTGAAAACCAACGCTTCTCATATCTGTTTTATTTCACCATTTAGGTACTATTTAGTGCTATTGCTTGGTTTGTTAGACAGACACTTAACTAAGCCAGCCTTCACAGACAGATAACGGATGAGATGAATTAAAGTCTAAATATCTACTAGAATTCGTTGGTTTTTTATAAACACTAGTGTGCAGTTTACCTTCTTCTGTTCGTTTTATTTTACAATCTAACACAACTAATTCTCCCTATTCATGTTCAGATTCAAATGTGAATTTTATTTCCTTCACTAGTGAGTTTATTTATATATGTGAAGAAGCTAGAGATGTATGTTCTGTTTTTAACACTGTGAAAGTGTCATCCAAATATCTTCACCATATCTTTGGAGTAGGATTAAATGTATTAAGAGCAATATTTTCCCACCTGTCCATAAAGATATCTGCTACGATAGGGGATATTGGTGATCCCATTGGAACACCATCTTTTTGTTTATATATTTTGCTCTGAAATTTAAAGACAATAGATTTGAAGTAAAACTAAATTCCTAAAATAATTTTCTCAATGGGCACCTTTGTCCTGTAGGTATGAGTAATTTTAATCATGTATACGGATGAAGCAAGAAAGTCGTGTGAGTGAGTACCTTGATATGATTATGAGCAGTAATAAACTGTGCTCGAAACGTAGTCATCAGTAAATATTACTTATTGTATAACACTGTGACTTTATGAAAATAAAAATTTTATCCATAATGGAGTTCTACTCTACCGCAGTGTCCAAGTTTTATGTTTATATGAATTACTTTTAGTTTTCCCGTCTCATTTTAGTGAAACATATTGACTAAATAACATGAAGATGACATTAAAGGTGTAAATGTAACCTTAAATATCTTAAAAATATCTAGGGTTACCTCATGGCACATTTCACATCCGTATTCCAGTATGCAACGTGGTGTTTTTATTTCTAACGTTTCTTGGGGTGAATGCGTAAGCCTGATAACTGTTCCACAGACCAAAAATCCTCTATTTTGTTAAATTGAGGGAATAACTATTTTATTTCTAACAAGAAATAGCAAGTTAATTCATTTGTAGACCTTTTAAACTTGTAAGAAACAAATGTATTTGGTCTTTGTGTACTGAATAATGAAACTCCGAATATTCTGTTATGTAGGGTGTGGATAGCTTACCTCCTTTGAAAGAAGATAACAACTTTGGCAAATACGTTTTCATATACATTTATCCGGAAGATTTGTGTTAATGTATGATGCTATATGCTTCAGACTGACTGATATGAATAGCTGAATACTATTCACCCAGCAGTGCGTTTTAGCCAGAATGAAATGTTCTAGATATCGGAAGGCTGTTTCTTTCGATATGTAGTCTCGCTCATCAGCTGTGAACCCGATTAGACTCAACTCAGATGACCGAATCAGTTCAAACTGGTAATATCTCGTATATGGTTGACGGGCTTGACGCCAAACTGGAGAATAGGCCGTCCGATGTCTAGACCACCTCGATCTAGCTATCAAATACCATCCAACTACTAGTGCTAATCAGTCAGGCGTATGTGATATTTTGTATTCATGCTTTATTGGGTACCACTTATGGTGTCAAGCAGATCAAAAATATTTCGGTCTGAATAATCTATTCTTTCAAAGGAAACAGTGAGGAAATTTTATCTCAAACCGTATAAATTGCAG